GGAAAAAGAGTTGGAGGCTGCTCGGTCGCAGGCCAGGATGGCCGAGGAGCTAAGGAAGGAGAGGGCGGCCTGGGCGGCTCGAGAGTTTGAGCTCGGGGAGCAGCATGCCAAGGCTTTGACGGAGGAGTATGACCGGCATGTGGCCGAGATTGACAAGCTCCAGGCCCACGTCATCAGCCTTCAGAAGCAGCTCGAGGAGCACACTGCCGAGCTGGAGAAGCACGTTATCCAGGACGCTCCAGAGGACGGCCGCCCCCACCTTTCGCTCCGTCTGCCGACCTACCCGGAGATTCAGGAGATATTTAGCAAGGATATCATGGCCGACATGGACTCCGGGGTCGGTTATAACCTCTACTGGCTCTTCCAGCGGCTCGACGCCGGTCTGCTGACCTTGGAGGACTTCCGCGAGATCATGCGGGCAAAGATCTCCAAGCACGGGCTGGGTGCCGAGTTTGAGGGACTCGTCTGCGAGGTGGACGAGGAGGAGGCGGCTCTGGTTCGCCGGCAGAGGGGATGGACGGAGGACGAGATCGTTGGCTTTGCCAACTTCGGCGCGACACCTCCCGATGAGATGCGCCTGAAGCCGGGCGAGGTCCTCTCCGACTACATGCCTTTCTTGCTGCCGAGCCGAGACTTCGCAGATGAGGCCGACCCCTCCCGGATTCTGCGAGGAACTCACGACCATGAGGCCGGATCCTCGAAGGCAGTCGAGGGCGACGTCGGGGCCGAGACGGATGCGGGTGGCGAGGCCGGAGGAGGTGCCGAGGTGGTGGCGGAACCCTCGGAGGATGCCGTGGTGGATTTGGCTGCCGATCCCTCTCCTGGGAAGTAGCTTATTTTCGGCCTGCGTGCCGCTCTTGTTGACCGCTTGTGGTCTTTTATGAAGAACTTATTTTATGAATCTCTAGGTTTTGCTTTGAAGTTTGAACAAACGAATGTTTTGGTTTGCCCTTTTAATGAATGAATGTTTATGTTAGTTTACACAGTTTCTCAGTTTCTTTGAGTGTGGGTTTGGCGCCGAGTTATGCGCTTTCTTATATGTTTGGTCGGCCTCGAGATTGGGCTCAGCCTTTCATTTACTTATTTACTTATGAACGAATGATCGTTTACTTACTTACCAAGTGTGGGCTTGGTGCCGCGCTGAGTATTTACTTATTTACATGGCCGAGTGCGAGATCGGACTCGGCGCTTTGGATTTACTTGCAGGGCCGGGCCCAGAATGGGGCTCGGCACTTTTTGCTTGCTTGTATTTTTCATTTCTTACATTGGCGCTGTGGCCTTACCGGACTACTTTGCCGAGTCCGGCTCGTGCTGGTCGAGTCATCGTACTGACCCGGCCTGCACATAATCATGTGGCAGCTTACCTGACCGGTCTCGCGTTCGGACTCGGAGGTATTATTGGCCTGACTGGGCTTCCTAGTTGAGCCCA